GGGCCAAGGGCCATAGCATCCTCAACATGCTGGTTGAGTGCAGTGGTGTGAGTAGGGTAGGTTAGGGAGAACCTTAACCTGGGGCAGGTCACATTGAGGAATGGCCTCAACCACGAAGAGACCAAGTTGAAGTCAATTTGATTGAATTTATGTAGTGGATAATTTACCTGTACTGTGTATCTGCCCCAAATCTTATTTCTGATTTTTCTGCTGTGCCAAAGTGGGACGTCAGCCACTGTGAAGCACTGTGAGGGGAATAGAATGTGCTTGCTGAATTTCATGTCTATGTCAAGATCTAGAAATTTGCAAGTGGTTGGAAATCATTTTGGGTAGCTGGCTGTTTGAATGTCCCAACAAAGTTTATGGAGTACAGCAACCATTTGAAAATTGAGGTTTGCTTCATGTGCATCTATCCCCACGCAGGTGCTGATCTGAGAGGGGCCAAATCTTCACCACTGTATGCGTTCTTACTCAAAGAAGCTGGTCTTGGTGAACCTTGGCCATAATAAAAATGCTTGTGGCCTTGAAGTCAAAATTGAACCCTGGAGACATCTGAACTAACACCTGGAAGAGCTTAATCCAAACACTTTCAAATCCCCTTTTGAGGAGAGGTTTAGGTTTTCCAAGCCACGGACTCCTAAGGAGAGTTCCTTCACAAAAACACAGAGCTTGCTACATTACGTCGATGAGGACTGGGTGGGTATGGGATCACTTCATTGGTATATATCACAATGTGAGATTGCCTTCTCACCCCCACACCACAAGCTTGTGATCCTTGTGTAAGCCTGGCCCCAACCCCAGGACAAAATCGCTTACTGTGTCTGGCAGGAGTTCAAGCATCATGGAGTGGCACTACGTGGGCCCTGTGCTTCCCTCTTGTCGGCTGGGTGTGGTGGCAAATATGCGTCAAACATACAGCGAGATATCATGAGGAAGGTGATCAAGAATGACCCAGAACAGGCCACCCTGGTTCCTTATGTGTTTCCAATTGCCCAAGCCACCTCAAAGAAATAGATCAAAGGTTACCTTTATTCTGGAGGTGAAGCAGGTGGGTAACCTTTGAATTCGTTTGAATTTGTTGGGTCTAGTTGCTGTCTAGTTGCAGGTAAAGATCAGCTGGATTGATGTTCCTGTGCAGAAGCAAAGGGGACCCAATGGTGTGGAAATCAGGACAGGGGTTCAGACTGATTTTTGTGCACAACTTTTGAAGGGGCTTGTAGCAAGTGCCCCACTAGTGTATACGACTTTGTCCTTAATCGATGGTGAATTTTGCAGGAAAATGCCAATTGTCCTACCTCGCACTGTGGTACCACTTCTACCTTCAGTCGATGGACAGGAGGTTGTCCAGTACTGGAGTCATCTTTCAGCAATGGGCAACCCACTGGCGAAGATCAGCCCTCTGAAGAATCACATCCCTCTGTGGATATGGGGGGGATGAAGCGCAATTTCGGGAGAATGGGGATGAGGTGCTGTTGATCGCCATTGGAAGTGTTCTGGATCAACGAAAGTACAGCGTTGAGGCATGCTACCCTCTGAGTATTTGCAGGTCAGAATCTGCCCTGACCTTTGGTAACCTTTTGTTTGGTGATATTTTTGAGCTGAGCCCCGAAACTGTTGTATATATATAATGGGTTTCCTTCATCTCAAGACTACACCTTTGAGGAACTCAAAGCTGGCTTCCCAACTGTCCGTGAGATCCTGAAGGCTGTAACTTGACAACAAATGTTATGATGTCTTCACACTTCCAGGGTTTGGCCAAAAGTAGCCAATGGTTGGTGCCCCACAACCCTGTGACTGCATCAGGTAGTTCAGTCCTTGGAGGAGCTCTATAGTGGAGTTGATACACCTGAAGGCAGGAGGGCCTATGCAATAACAGAAATCCGTGGAGATTGGAAATGGCAGCAAGACTCTTTCCTTGAATCAAAAGGTTGGGAACTAGTTCAAGGTAGATGTGATATAATCGACGTGTTCAACTACCTTGCAAACTGCCTATATATAAATAGAGATCTGCATTACATCTCGTCAGGGTAGTTTGAACTCTTAAATCGCACGCAACAAAGTCATCCCTCAAAAGCTGCTGGGATCCTTGGGGAAATGTGATGGGTTTGTTATTTGGGGAGAAAGTAGTATTTTTTGTTACATGTTTTTTTGAGGTTGATCCAGTGCCACCAAATCTAGGAATGGCTGCAGTTGACATCACACTACCTGTGCAATTCTGTCTGCCATCAGTGCAGATCAATGAAGCCGTCCTATGTAAGTGCACCTTCGAAGTTGGGTGAGCAATTTCGTCACAGTACTCCAAGCTTCCTTGCTGAATGCTGCAAAGGAGCTGACTTGCACAGTAACGAGTCCATCAACTTGTGAATGTGGGTCAAACCAACCAGGTAGCCTCCCCCACCTCACTACCGAAAACACCCACGTGTGAAACATGATTTGTTTGACCTGCATTCTCAATCTGTCAGGTGCAAAGCTGTTTAATGAACCCATCAAGTTTTATGGGCACAAGAAAAACATGAGTGTGCATTGTTTGATTGACACGTTCTGTTGGAAACTGCTTAAGGTCCTTTATTGGACCTACCAGCCTTTGAAATGGCAATGATTCGGTGGGATGCTATGCATATCATCAACCTTGGTGTTGACTTGTGGATCTGTGGGTCCATCATGCGGAAGATTTTGTCATCCTATGATCAGCTGTGGGGAGGTTCAGACCTGGAGGACTCTGATCGACTTCTTCTGGCTTATGATGATTTCCGAAGTTGGAGCAGGAGGAACCGCATTGCGTACTTAGCCTTGAAGAAAAAAGTCTTTGCATATTTTTACAGACCAGATTCTCACAACACCATAAATTATGTTAGTTGTTTTTGGTTAATCTTTGTTATCTCATCTCAGGCATTCAATGCCCAAATTCCGTCCATGGCGGCTTCGATCAAAGACCCACCCTTTTCCTGAACTTCAATCCAAGGCCTTTAATGTCACTTGGCTTCAGCTGTGTTGCAAGTAGAGGATACTGACAAGGTCCCACCAGAACTTACCTACCCTGCCTTCGTCAAAGCTGTCAATGTATCATGGCTCAGCTAAGGCTCGCTGTGTCGTGGCGTGGCTATGTGATGAGGTAGTGGGTTGGGCCAACAGTGAAGAGTATCGAGGTGACCAGTGGATGCCTCTCATGGCTTCGTGCGTGTTGCTTCACTTCATTATTAGGATCAGATTGTTTGAAAAATAACTTTTTGTTGATACAAACATTATTGCTAGAAAAGGGTTGCCCTCTTAATTGTACTCTGAACAAATCCAAATTATCCAACAACAATATCCTTCATTGGTGTTTTTGTTTGTTCACTATGTCTTGAAATGCCCTATTGGTTGGTGTTGCCATTGATTGAACATTTCTACTGATCGATCTTATCTTAGGTTCCACCTTGCTGAGTGGCACCGCAAGGTTGAATCCTTTGGAAGATACCTGACACCAAGTCAGGCAAGCGATTTGCAGAGGGAATGTGATCAATGTTTGCAGTGCTACCTCACTCTGGCTCATATGGCTGTAGCCGCTGGGGAACTATTATTTCCAGTGCGGCCCAAACTGCATGCGCCTTTGTGTGTTCAGTATTTTGTGATTTTTTGTTATGTTCAAGATTGTCCAAGAGTTGCCATGGTTGAGAGGTGGCTCCAATATGCAACACAGTGATTTGATGTTGCAATCAACATACCATGTGCTTGAGGCGTGGCAAGAAATTGCTCTTTGCCAAATTGAGGACTGCACCTAGGTGCAAAAAGCATGGCATTGTGTGTTTCTTTTTCACCCTCCCACTCTCCAAACTTGTAGAGATTAAGGGCTGCTGTGTGGGAATGAGTTGATATATCCAGGTATGAACTGTCGCATGTACCAGGGGTACAAGCCAGAAGACTTCATTGGCAAAATCTCAACGGTGTGCAGTGCTGGCAGTAACACCAATGTTGAGTACATTGCCATGAAGCGCTTTTACATTGGGTATCTTGACCTTGGGTTCAATAAGATTTGTTGTTGTTTATTCTGGGATGTGGGATTCTGCCCCAAAGGAACATCAACAAATAGACTTGTGGTCATCTGTAGGCAAAAGAGCCATCAGCAGCTGACAACTTTGGATGGCTCTGGTGGAGCTATGGATGATGACTAAGGGCTCCAGACTTGACTTTCCTTGTGTACAGTGGCGATTCTGCGCCCAATTCATGGTCTGTGTACATTCACACTGATCTGATGGAGAGCTGAATTAAAACCGCGCTTGGAAAGTTTGAGCTGGGCTAGGCTGGGCTAAATACTATCCTTTTGAGCATGCTGAAGCTACTGTGCACAGGGTGGAGTCAAAAGGTAGCCTGCGTTAAAAACCAAAATCCTCTGAGCATGGTACCGGGTGTGTCACAGCTCTAGGATCTCATCAGAGTGTGATTGCACTATGAATCATCTTCTCAGCGAGTGTTTTGGATCTCTAGGGCTTTGGTGTCGCGGACTGTTCAGGTTCACCGATCTTACAGCCATGGTGTCTCCATATGGGCCTCGCAACCTGAAACCTTGGTCAAGCTTCATGCGTGGGAAGCTCTGTTCCGACATGCGTGTGAGCGAGCCCGCCCCAACAGCCCTACCCCCTAGTAAACACACGTAAACATTTGCCAGTTCACCCATTGGTTGGCTTTCGCTGAGGGCATGTCGTAGACTGAACCTGCAAAGGCCAAAAAACCATTGGTTGGGAGGGTATCGCCAGTTGCATGTCCTCCGAGATGAGTCACCATTCACCCCGGCAGGTTGACCTGCCTGGTAGTCTAACCTGGAGCCCTTTTCGGCGGGCATCAACTGTCAAGTCTGTCAAGGTCTCCCGGTGGTCTCCCAGTGGTCTCCCGGTCGTCTGAGGCCCATAGAGATACCCTGCTAGTCTAACCTGTTCTTAACCAGTGGGAAAACAAGAATCCCAGAGGTCTCGGAGGTCGGCCCGGTCTGAGTTCGAACCCACCAGCCTTCAAGACCCACCGAGGTCAAGACTCATGCCTTGATGTTACGTTCCTCGACCCTGGAGACCGACCACTTGGACCTGGCCCCTTCAGCTCCTCCGGCGGACCGGGGCACCGGGGTCTCCGCGCGAGACACGAAGTGACTAGACTGAGCAAAAGCTGCTGTTTGTTGTGTTTGAGGACCACGAAAACGGAGTCTTGGCTCATAGATTATATAGACTGGCAGATGTTCACTTTTGGTTGGTTGATTTGTTTGAGGGTTTAAGGGCATATCCCGAAGTGTACAACCAACAATATCCAATATAAGAGGTAGATACCAAACTGATCCCTTTATTATTTCCAAAACGACCTCCTTGGTCTTGGTCGCGGTTTTTCATTCCGAGAAGTGTGGATCTGAGAAGTCCGGCAATTTGGGATCCACCTACCCCTTCAAAGTACTTCAGAAAGTGGGACATGACTCTATTGAACATGTATTACACTTCTAGCCATGTTCTCCAGGCGGTTGCTATGTATGATTAGATATATGTATATATGTATATACAAATAATTAATAGTTCATGAAACCTTTTGCACCACTGTTGATGAGCTGTGTTGCCCAGAATTTGACCACGTACTCAACGTTATTGTTTTACTGATCGCAACTTTTCAGTCTTCAGTCTTCTACACCTGGGGTGTGTTGTGTGTGTGTTTTTTTCTCCGGGGGTCGTTTTTCACTCACATGCGCCTCATTTTACTGGAGTTGGTCAGTAGCAAGACACAGAGATATTGAAGGAGGTCAGTCAGACCAGGAGACTGGACGTACGGGTGTTCTACTGGACGTACAGGTGTTATCCGGGATTTATGAGGCCTCATACGAGTCATATCAGTCAGGGATATGAGTCCTGACTTTGAATGACTACAGCTTAAGCAAGTAATTTAGAAAACAAGTCATATGACTCACTCAACTGGGATGCTTTGCACACCAGGACCTGGGTGCCTTTCAAGGTGGGACTGGAGCGCGCCGTGTCTCGCGCGGAGGAAGGGAGCGTGGTCCAGGAGCGCCGATGCCCGAACATGATTGAGCTTGGTCCAGCTTGGTTTATCAGTTTACCACGCAGTACCCACACTGAGTGACTCTGGTCTTTGGCTTTGGTAGTTGTTGGGCCTTTTGAGGTGACCCGCATCTTCCCTCCTGGTGCGTCCCGCATCTTCTTAGAGAGGGGCTAGTTTTTTGTTCCTGAAATGTGTTTGTTCTGAAAGAAACAGAGTGCCCAATGACAACTCAGAAGGAGTCAAGCCAGCCTCGATCTGGGTTGCACAAATACCCTGAGAAGAAAGGCATTGGTTCTATTATATATGTGACCCCCTAGTTGCGGAGTTCAAGCCTCTGATGTTGCAGCCTTGATCAGGACATCCGATCGAATACCTTCGCTGCAAGCAGCCTATGAGATACCCAGACAGTCAGAATTGCAGGAAACCGGACACAGCACCTTTGATAGTATAGTTATACAGGTACCTGTTTTTTTTGTTCGGGTCATGTCCCATTTTCTAAAGCCCCTTGGATGGTCCAGGTCTGTTGGTCACTCCAACATAGTCCCGATTGAGGATAGACCAAACTTCAGTGACCAGTGTGGCTGATGTGTGAGTGAGTCATAGTCACCAACTTGTATGTGTCGGTCAAACACACATTGAACGCGATTTCTTTTGGTTGCAGTCACTGTGCGGCAGGCGGTTACTTTTGGTTGCAGTCACTGTGCGGCAGGCGGTTACCAAGGAGTGATGGTGCAACCAATTGCAAATAGTGAAAATGAATGCTGCAGTCTTCAGTAGCAGTCGCCCCTAAGTGGGCGCGCTCGCCTTCGAAAACATGCAAAGCTTAGCACAGACAGCGTGCGATGTAGGAATCCAGGGAGGTGAAAGGTCTTAATGTAGGGTAAGAAGCATGAACATGATCGATGCAGAGAAACCTATCCTTACTCGGATTCAAAAGAGGGCTAAGCTGTTTTTGCTGCTTCCTTGAGGGGTTGACAACCCGATACAAGAATAGGCTGGAGGGTGCCAGGGTTTGGGGTAGGTCACAATCCTGGCAACAGCGCCCACTAGATTTGTGCCAGTGAAAGACCATCCTTGCCAGATTCTTAGGTCCCGGCTCCTGGTTCCATCAACAAGGGTATCAAACCTGCTTGGGGCAGGGCTGAGAAACAAGAGCGATAGAGATCACTCTGCAGCTCCAGCACAACAAGGTCAACATTGTATTTGTTCTCCGGAATATTTGGAGCTGTATGCGTGGCCTGTGGCGGCCACATGTATGCAACAGAAGCAGCCTTCAAAGAGCTTTGGTCACTTAAAACAGACAAACGATAGAGGGTTCATGTGGGGAAAGTTCACCTCAGTATTGGGAGCGGGTTCAATTGCCAAGGGTTCAATTGCCAATCTCTGTATAATATGGTTAAGCAAGGAGGTTCAATTCTCAATCTCTATCTCTATCAGTCCGTAAGTGGATCCTTGCTTTCCAAACCGTCCCTGGAAACCCACTTGCCACACTATATGCGGCAGCCGTCATCGGCCTACTTACGTGTCAGCCGCTTCTCTTCGGGACAACGGTCCGAGATTGTACAGGAGCCGCGGAAACCGGCCCGATAAGCAGCGGACTGCTTCGATGAGACCGCTGAAATGGGCGCATGCGGCACACGGGCTGTGTGTGTGTGTTCGGATGCTTCAATGGTTTCATGCGGATGTATGTATCTTATCATCGCAGCATGAATCAACAGGACAGTGGAACAATCTGGTCTCATGAAAATTGGATAAAATTGGTGCGTGTGTGTGTTTGGAGGTTTTGAGTCCTTCATGAAACTTCGAATTAAACAAGATACAGTAGGTGGAAAATATGCATGCAGGGCTTCTCTTAGCGCCGGGCCATCTCGTTTCTACACGTCTCCACGTTCTCATCCCGTCTGGAATGTTTTTCACGCATTTTTGCCCCCATACGGACCCAGCAATTGGCCATGCCAAGCTGAAAAGATGCTTATGTTCACGAAATCCGTTGTGGTCAGGAGCGTCACTGATGCGTCAGGAGCGAGAAAGGGCGTCTTGCTCTACCTCGAATCTCCAACAGCAACACCAACTATTTGTCAATACCTATCACTCCGGCTCCTTGCAGACCCCCTGACCTCCCCCAGCAAGATCCTCACACCCAAAATGCTGGGGTTGTCACAGGCCAAGCTCTTCGACGAAGAGATGGAGGTCTTGCACGTCACGCAGGAGGGGAAGTTCACAGGCGACAGCGGCGTCAGCGAGGAAAACGCCTGATTCACGGGGGGAACTCAGCCGCCTGCTATAGCCTCCTGCTGTTCGGACCACACGGCCCCCCAAAAGCACCTGGGTTGTAGAGGAAAGTTCTCTGAACCACGGGGTCTTCTTCTCGATCGTCTGCAGGAGGGTCTAAAAAGCTGACCCCCCAAATGATCACCCAACCAGTACTAAAAGACGTGGAAAAAAGAAGCGGTGAGTGAGGTAGGGATCGGCTCGCCCTCTGTTGAACCGATGCTTTTCGCCATTCGACGTCCCAAGCACCGCCAGGTGGAGCCCTGGTGAAGGAGCTCAGTGTGAAAGCCCGACATGTGGAAGGCACGTGCACTCTGCAGCCAGGGACGGCCGAGCAATTTGATCCATATTATGGAGACTTCTTCGTTGGGCAGAGTCAGTGTTGTTGGAAGATCGTGTTGGAGCCTAGTCAATCACCTCCCAAGCTAACGAATTAGCATTGATATAAGATTTATATATCTTCAGAAGTGGGTTCCCATGTTAGTTTGGAGGCAATTCCCTGTAATCTATATAGAGGAAAAGAACAAGTGGCCAAAAAGACCTGATCTGGAGAACTTTAGACAGACTCTCGGGTTGTGGTGCTTTCGCCCTTCGATTCTTTTAGACAGACCGTGTACCCACCGCCAGAGGTTCCAGCAACTTGAACCTCCAGGCGCCCTCCTCAACAGGCGGGGTTTCCCTAGCGGCTTTGTGCGGATGACAGCAGCCATTGTGAGGCAAACGACGCCGAAGTTGGCTGATTGGACCCAGTAGACCCAAATATGCATCTTAAGATCAAGGACTTCGAAGAAGTGGGGTCATTCAAGGCAAGTCGGGCATGTTACCTGCAGTAGCCCTAACTTCCGGACCTGGAGGCAACACACTAAACACGTTAGTCTGAGATGCCGCTTCGGCCTTTTCTGGCCTCCTAAGCCCGCTCGGACCACCCAGTGGCTGAGCGCAAGTTTGCACAGCCCAAGTGCTGAAGTGGGTGGAGTCCCAGTGCACCCAGTTGGTTTTCCTTGGAGCTTACACGAGTGTTTCATGGGTGAGTTGTTGTCCGTCCAACAAAATTCAACATACTTAGTTATATAAGTTATATATTATATGTGGTGTATATATGTATAAAGGGATTGTATAATATATTTATATAGGTCCAAACATACATGTGACCTTGAATTTGAACATGCATGACAAAATGATGAAACATGAAAAGGATTGAAAAGGCATGTTTTTTTTGGCCAAACTATGACTTCCAAGCTTCACAGATTCCGAGCAAAACCTGCAGGTACGCAGGGAGAGATCCTGGGAACCACCACTGCTCCTCGGTGACAAAGCCAACCGAAACCGCAGCGTCATGTGGGTACGTTCAGCCAGGGTTCTTCGAACAGTTCGGCTGTACCAGGAGTTCCATATCGGCTGAACAGTTCGGCTGTACCACGAGCATACTGCCTGTTGTAGACGCCGCTCAGCTTCGTTGTAGACTCATGTTTGCCTCAGATTCCAAGAGTCTCATAGCGTACGGAATGCGTATTGCCTGTTGTCGAGATCATTTGGAGATGGCAACACATGTCATCACACGTTCTGAACAACTTGGAGGATTGCTCGTGGGCTCTTCTCACAAGCTCACCGACAAGTGTAGAGCTACCGCTGTTTGCGGAACCGTCCAACAAACAAACACACAGTCAGTCCACACTAAGAGTGTAAGTCTATCCCAACGATTCCACTATATACATATACTGTAGGTATTTTTTTTATATTTTGGGATCTAGGTGAAGATGTAAATATTGTATTTATACTTTCTTGCTCAAAGAAACCATGCATCATACATCTCTCTCTAGAACCCCGATGTATCATCGCAATACCGCTTTTGGACGATCTGTTGAAGGTCCGAGCCTCACCGGCGGGACGCGGCTTCCAGGTGGGCTATATCGATTCCATGGCCTCCGAGCTCCAGCGGGGGGACCGGCAGTTCGAAGCGCGGTTCCCGCGGGTGTCCACCGGTGTTCCACCGGCCCAGGGGCTTCCGGAAGAGTGACCTGACCACATGGGCCATCTGCCAGGGCTTCAAGTGGTTTTTTGTGGCCACCTTTTTATAGGGAGGTATGTCCAGCCAGGATACCCAGAAAGGATGGCATTGAAAAATCCTTCGGAGCTCCTTTTCCCTTGGTTCCACCGACGGCCTCGGATCCGCCTGGTCAACGGACGCTTCTAGGTCCTGTGTCATGGTGTACTGTTGGATCTCCCCTCCCCAATGGAGTATTACCATGGAGCATCGCCATGGAAAACGGTGTGATCATGGATAGCTCAAGCTCTTTCTTAAGCCCTTTTGGTGCGTTTTTTTGTTGCTTTGGTGAATCTGTCGCGTCATCCGACATGGTTGTTAAACACTTTGGTTTGCTCAAAGATCGGCCTGGCCTGGCGCAGCTCTCCACTGAGGACTCAGAGCGGCCGTGTGATGTGGGACTTCATCACAGGCGCCACGGCCACCGTTATAGCCGTCTTCTGTTCTTTTGAGGCAAATGGGAGGCTCAGTCGAGCTGAGGAAAAAAGAACAGCTGAAACTGTTTGGGATGACTTAGGGGCAGGACCTCGCGGTGAACCGCCCCGGATCCTCTTAAGATGATTGGATCTATACGACCCACACATCACGCTCTGAGACTCAGAGGGTGGATTGGTGGATCCACAGCGGCAGACGTAGGGTATCAGCCGCCTCAGCCTGAGACGTTGCCTGTTGGCACTGCAGGAGGCCTTCTCGTTCGGCTGTGCCGACTCAACGGTGTTGTAACCTGATGCATGAGGGTTTTTATCGAGGGTTGGGTAGGGTTTGCATGTTCGGTGTATGGAATATATACCTATACATTGGGGTGGTTTCAGGGGTCAATGTAGGTAACGATTACATATACATGGCATGTTCGGTTTTGGAGTTCGTGTTAATGCTTCGGCTTCAACCATTGGCAAGCAGCCTCTCCCAGTGAAGCCAGATCCATGGGAAGCAATTGAGCTGACGATTTGTCAAATGATTTCCTTGTTGTTGTATACATAGATATATATATTATATATTAGTGGTAGAGGAAACTTAGCTGGATGATTACTTCCACACATTTTGCAGGATACTGCTTCGATGACACGAAAGCAAAAAGGATGCCTTCTATTGTTTTGGATGCCAAAAGAATCACATCACTGAACAGATTATCATCCATTGAGAAGTCTTTGTTAAATACAACCCTTTATTGTTTAATGACACTATTGCTTATGTTGCATATATGACCCTCGTGCTTGGTGCTTGATCCAGCCACGTCTTTAAAGGGCCAGAACACCAATATATAGGCGTGTCGTCTTCCTTTCCGCCGCGTTCCTTCGTTTCAGACACGGAAGACACGTCTTGGAACGTGTCGCACCGAACACTGCCAGGCATGAGCTTCATTTGCATCGCTTGCCATTCCATCCTGCGGCAGAAGACCGTGGACTTCTGGCAGGCGACCTCACGACCAACCCGACGACCCGTCCCATGGGGCGGTCATCAACCCGCTCCGGAATTGGTCCGGTCTTCGGAACGTCGTCGCTGTCCTGAAGAGAACCACAATGGAACCCCAAAACCCACTTGGTTAGGTAGAGGAAAACCATCTTCCAAAGGAACTGGAGCAGGACTGAGGGTCCATGTGAGTTTTCGGGAGTGTAAGTCTATATGCGAAGTAATTCAGTTCAGCGATTCAGCAGATGTTCGAAACACCCGACAGTTCTTGGCCATTGCTGTTGATCACTGCTGCAGTTCGCTGCACACTGCGTCGCATGAACGACCTGAGACATGGTTTCTGCAGTCGAACTATACTTTGTGTCTTGATCAGGTGGAACGGATCAGCTTCAGTGATTATGTGAACGAATATCTTATATCAAACTCTGCCCTCTATTATTCATGCAGAATGTGTGTTTGCCCAATGCTTGACGAGGAAACTGGGTAACCTTGGACGAAAGACCTCGAGCTGGGAAGAACGGTGAGTCGACACTCTTCTTTCGCGGAGGTAAATTACAAGGAGTCAAATTCCCTAAGGCACTTACAGCACCTATAGTCGTCGACCTCTTCAAAAACACGACGTATGGATGGCATATATCATATATATATATAATGTAGACTCTTGATTAATAAGCCCCCATATGAAGATGATTTTGCACTTCAAATGAGGGTGGTTATTAATCAAGAGTCTACATAATACAATATATACATGGCCGAAAGTCGACTCTCTTCATGTTTGGAGTGTCCTGAATGGTACTGATTGTCACTGATAGTCGTGGTTTAGCACCCAAACCGCAACGCTGTAACGCTAGGCCACCATCAATGGTTTGCTGCACCAAGCCACTTTGAGAGCGGAGCTTACGAGTCACCATGTTGTGATTTGCAACCAGCTATGATATTCAGTGACTTTGAAGCAGTGAGTTTGGAGGTGAGTTTGGAAATCGCATGTGGACGAAGAACAGTAGGGACATGTAGGGACTGAAGCCATTGCCAGGCTCGAGGGATGAAGCACATGGACAGCTCCAGCGAGAAGGATCCAGAAGGGAGTCTGGGAGGGGCAGATGTCTCAAAAAGTTTCAAGGAAGTCTTCAAGGATGCTTTTCATCTACACTTGTACAGTTGTGTTTGCCTGAGTCAATCCCCTCCTGGGCATGTTTGTAAGAGACTTTTGGGGGGGCGCAGCGGGACGTCATGATGCAAGAAGGCACATGATGTGCAATCCCCTCCATGATGACGGTGTTAGACTTTGAAGGGTCTAGCTCCTGCCAAACAAAGAAAGTACTGCCAGGACCTGGACTCTCACGAAAAAACACCTGGCCACTTAGACAGACAGACATAGACTCCATTTGGCGGTCATGAACGGCTCAGGTCCTGGTCCTGGTGTTGTGTTTTTCTTTATCTCCAGCACTTGACATGTTTCTTTGTTTGTGCAAAGGCTTCACACGGATCACCCTCCTGGACCGCCTTCTCGACCAGTCCACCGACTTCCCTCTCGCTTTGTCACTCGACACTCGGTTCAACGGCTTGTTCATGGCCTGATGTGGACGCACGACACCGTGTGGACCTTGAATCTTGGACGGTCTAAGTGACTGATTTTCCACGGCTTCACCGCTTTTGGGCTGGTCACGGCTTGAGCTGGAACCGCTGAGGCACGGAAAAACCACGACTGGGTTCCAGCGCTGGGTAACCCAGCGCAACTCTGACACCGTCCGGCGGCTCTGGGCGTCCGACTGTGTCCTCCAGGACTGCACGGCCTTTAGACAGATGGTCATGGTCCACACCATGGGCAAGGCGAGCTTCGCGGAGCCGACGGGAGCAAAACGGGGAAATCAGGGGTGCTGAAGCATTGATGCAGTTCCCGATGTTCGGAGTAGTTTTGAAGGATTTGTGAAGCCCTGCCCATCTTTTTTGGCTCCATGGCTCTTGAATTCAGGGTGTTTGGGCATCATTAGGTCGGCAGGGCGTGGGAGCAAACAGATCTCGTGGTACATCGTCATACCATGAGAGAAAGTTGTTGACCGAGAAGCACTGTTATGGCTGGCTGGTTTGCCAGCCACTTTTGCATTATAGATTGTGAGTTGCAGAAGATGCAGAAGCATGTAGAATCAATCTCCAATTTTTTGAAATGGCAAATCAATTTCAGGTGTCACCCTGCTGTTGGGCCATTTCCAGTGCCTTTGCCATCACCAACCCCTTTCGCATTATTGTATTCAACATCGCTCGCTGGGGTCGCGATCATTCGGAGACTGAAGCGGGGCGGCGATCGGCAGATGGAACGACCCAATTGGTTCATTTTGTTCAAAAGTCACACCCGGATCCACATACTGACTGGCATATTGACTGAGAAACAGCCAGGGGTGGTTTGAGGAATCAATGTATTCAGACTGGATCCATTGCCACCTTCCGTACCTCAGGTTCGGTATGACTGCGCCCGATTTGTGGCGCCTACATCAAGAGTCCCCTTCCTCACCTTACCTCAGGATAGGTATGTGGATCTATATAGGGACATACCTGGAGTCGACCCCTTCGTTTCCGCGGAGCATGGGTACAGTCGTACGTGCTTGATTCTTGTTCCGTTCCTGTCCCATTTTGCTTCATCGACCTCTTCCGGGTTTTGTACAAACTCCGTGGGATCCCCCTTGGTCCGAAGAAGAACGACGCCTGACCTCGGCGCGCGCGAACATCGATGCCAGCGTCCCAGCGTCCTACATCGATGCCGTCGATGCCGTCGACAGGTGATTTGCGAGTTGAAGGACCTGCAGGAGGCTTGCCGGTCGGACCGGAGAAGAAAAGAAACGACAGCTGGGTCGGACCGGAGAGTGTGGCAGATTCGTTGGTTTTGTTTCAAGGAATTGATCTAAGAATTTAAGGTCATGGTATGTGTTGTGTTTCTGACTTTCGTGTTTTCTCCCATGATGCTCCTATACAGGGACGATGTTTGGATGTTACCCTGGATCTCAGGAGAAAAACTTATAAGTCGATTTCGTTATAATCGATCCCTTTTTCGTTTTATTTGATCCTTTGATCTCCTGGAGCTTTTTGGCTTCAAGAAGAAGCTATGGAACTCTCCAGCCATGGTTCTGCTGAGAGAAGGAGGTTCTTAGCATCTTTAAGAGATGATGGTGCAACCTCCAATCAGGTTCAAACCAAGGTGAAGACCGAGGTGATATCGTTTTCGATACAGAAACTTCGAGAGTTTAAGGGAAGCCAGATGATAGCTGCAAGTTTCAAAGCAGGGCGACCAGAAGCCAGACTTCGGCCAAATTACAACAGCACAAAAAGAAAACTATGCGCCAATCCGGTGGAGAGAATGAGGTATCTTGTCATGTTTGAAGAAAGGTTTTCCACATCATAGTAGCATCAACAACTGAGTATCTTGAAGATCTTTTGTAGATGGACAAGTCATGGACTTAAGGCACTCTGACAATGGAAGAGATCGGTCGCGAATCAATCAGATACTCTTCCAGCCGTGCATTTGCAAGAGGGGCTGCTTCAAGAGACAAGATTCTGAATCAGTCTATGAGTTCCTCGATGGGTTTTGGACTTTGGAGAAACCCAGCCAAGATCAGTTTGTTTGAGGCTCATTTGTTTGGCAATTCATGACTTCATGTTTAGTCTTTTGGGCAGTCTTTTGAACACAAGTTGACCGGCTTAGATCTCGTTCTGCATGGCTGGCCTTGCACCGGGAAATCGCCAGTGGGAGCTTCTGGGCAATAAGATCTCACGGCATTGTCTGGCAGCCTTGATGGGGGTGAGGCCCCAACGATTCAAAAGCTGTCAGAGTGGGCACATGGACAAACGGTACAGATGCTTTGGAGCAGCAATTCAGCTGCATGATAGAGAGGTATAGAGAGTGCTTTGCAATCACCTCTGTTTGGGTCATGAGTTCAGCCCATACAGGTAAAGAAGCGGGCTCCTCTTCTTTCCATGAAGCTGGATTGGTTCTTCTTGAAAGTTTACATAGATCAGGGTGGTATGCTGCCAACAAAGCCCCTTGCTTCAATCAGCCTGAGTCCAAAAACTGCTGTTCGCGATCGATTCAACTTGTAGTCCTGCTAAGGTTTCAAAGAGCTGCTCGTCTTCGAGAATCTATGCAGAAACGACCTGTCTCCAACGTGATTGTGCAATATGGATGCCGCGGTCATGAGGAGGATGATGGATGCTTTGTTGGCATTAGTGCATGGCAGGACACACAAAGGTAGCTTTCTCCAGCATGCATCAAGGAGTGTCAGAAGATTCTGGCCCCGACGATGATGCTGATACCATCCCTGCAGAAAGCATTGAATCCGATTTGGATTTGAAGTTGCATGTGCTCGGCCACAAAATGCTGTGGACGCAGCCAAGACCTCATTTGTTTTCTTTGTTTGTTTAACGTTCCTCCTTGCATAACCAAATGTTCACTGTTCAGTTAAGGTTCACAGATACGAACATGGGCCAGGATCCATCCATGCTCCCTGTCCGGCACTTGCCACCAGGCAATGTGGCAATGTTGCATTCTCAATGCTCCTTCAAGGTGTCGCACCCGGTTCGCACTGAGGTTTTGTGTTCTTCATGTGCCACAGTATCTTTTCGCATGCCTGGTTGGGATGAGGTACAGCCACTTTGCGCGAAGATACAAATCCAAATGGGCATCAGTTCTCAGATTCTCGAACCCCAGCAACTTTCCAGCCTGCGACGACTGCACAGCATACAAAAGTGCATTCCATGACTGCAGGGAAGCTTGGCATTAGGCTTGTTATGGCTTGTTATCAGGACTTTCTTCAGACCTTAAAGAGTGATAGCTCAGGATGTGCTGGACAAGTTCGAAGTTGCCAAACAATACAAAGCCCACATCGAAGCTGTAGCAGCTGATCGTCATTTGGAAAGTTGGTTTCAGGAGAGCTCCTTTGTTTGTTTTTTGTTGCACAAGTGTGTTGCCTTTGATTCCCAAAGGAGAGCTCACCATTGACCGATGATGATGCCTGTCTTTTTATCCATGCCGATCCTTGGCCACAAGGAGCTTCAACACCCTTTGTTGAGTCATTCTTGAGCGTTCGGCCCCAAAATAGAGCATCTGAGGATGGCATGGATCAGGCCAAATGGTGCATACCAAGATGCAGGGGGCATGTCACAACAAAAGCAATGGCAAAGTATGACAGACCAAAAATGAAAATCGAAGGCGTATGGTGCCACAATGTGCTCATGACTCTCCATTGCATTGATTGCCGTCAAGCTGGAGACGCTTCCATGGTTATCGAGTGTTTGTGTCGGGACCTTGAGAAGGTGGTCCAGATTTGCCGGGACAAAGGCAAAGCTCCACCAAAAAAGATCTTTCTGTGGGCCACTTTGATGGCAATGAGTGTGAGTAGTGAAAGTGCTCATTCCATCTTATTCCTGCATCTTTTTTTTTCTCCTGTATAAGGTGGACAACACGGTCAAGGAGTGCAAGAACAACAGCTTCATCAAATT